CCTGATTACCAATGACTCTATTTTTAACATCAGAGACGGCCTTCAAATGAAATTTGTTATATGTCATTTTCCATAGAATGTCTACACATCTCAGTGCACTAAAAATATTAGACAATCTGCCAGTTATCTTTCTTGAGACTTATTTTACCAAGTTGCGTTGCCTACGTTTAATGTCAAATAATGGATACATATTTTTTATGACCCTTGGCTACATTAAAAGATAACAGAAACGAAAGGAACGATAAAGTGAAAGAGGCCAGGGAGGGACTGACACGCGAGGTAGCAGAAATCTAAAGACAGTTAAACATACGCGCATTATACATACATGCCTCATGAATGTGTGGATGATACCGCATGTGTATGTACGTAAGTGTATATGTTTGCAACTATTTGTACTCGTATGTATGGGTATATGTACTTCGTTTTTGTTTGATGTGTGTGTGTGTGTGTGTGTGTGTGTGTGTGTGTGTGTGTGTGTGTGTGTGTGTGTGTGTGTGTGGTTCGTTTTGTGGAACAATTTTCAATAACAGTTTCAAACCTACACGTCATAATTTCATCCATTTCACTTCGGTTGATTTTTTTCACTTTGAAGTATTTTGACGTTCCTTGAGGAAAAGTAAATTTTGTTAGGTGTTTTTTAATTTTAGATTTTCTTTTGTTTTTCTGATTTCTCAATCTTTATTTTCATTATGGTTTTAAATATTTAGGTTGACAGATGGTCTGCATATGTAATTTTCTTTAATTTTTCATTAATGGTCTTCGTCCGGCCCGCGACCCGTCATTATAACACGATCCGGCCCGTGGGGTCGAATGAGTTGCCGACCCCTGTTTTAAAGTCTTCCTTTGATTTTTCAAAGTTCGTCATGTATATCTCTAAATCACAATCTAAAATGTTTTCATCTTCTTCCAACTGCCGGATGTTTGAAAAATATTTAAAATTTCAACGTCCCAACGAAGATTGAAATAGCCCTATTTTGACTTGGAAAACCTATTAGGATTGTTTCGGCTTGAATAATTTTAACATTTTTACCTTGCAGGCGTTTCTGTACTTCATTAAATTTTGAATATAGGTCTTCAAAATAGAAAAGATGGTTCATAAACATTTTCAACTCGTCACATAGTGATAGGTCCACATCCGTAAGAAACTTCACATTTGAGTAATACAAGTCAATAAGTCTTTGTAAGCTATCACATCTTGGGAACCACCTTACATCAGTGGACAAAAATAATAGGTTCAAAGTTTCATTATTTTTTCACATAACATTGCAGCCGCAAATTGAGAGGATAAGCTTTAATTTTATTGATTGACCTGATACATACTTTTAAAGCATCATGCAGTTCACCAAGATGGTATCTGTGTAAAACACAGTGAACAGTACGTAGTCTGATGATCTTTTCCTTATTTTCCATGATATTTTTGGTATGATTAAAAATTATAAGGAATAAAATAAGGAAAAGATCACCAGCCTACAACAATCAATCAAATACCTGCAAACTTTGCTTGGAGGAAAAAATAGCTATTGTTACCTTCCCAGACTAAATTACTAAATAAACGATCTGAGCTCATCTCAAAATGCAGACACGAAAACAAATTTTTACTACGTTATTTAAAAATCGAAACTGAAATGAATAAACAAAATAATATAAAAAAAAGTAAAATCAATTAACCCCAACAAATAATAAACAAATTAAAAAACCACTACCGTCAGAATAGACGCAATAGAATAAATAAAAAAAAAAACAAGTAAAAATAATCAACCCAAATAAATAAATAAAGTAAATAATAATAAACAAATTAAGAAACCAATCCCGCCAAAATAACCGTTAGAATAGACTAATAACCATTCCAAAAATTGGACGTCAAAATAGCTATAACTGCTATATAACGATAAAAAAAACAAAATATATTACTACGTTACTCAAAAATCGAAAACCAAATAGAGTAAATAAAAATATACAAAATAAAAAATAATTAAATAAATAAAAAAACAAATAAGAATCCAAATAAATAAATAAATGAACATATTAACACATCTCCCCCGCTGAAATAATAGTTAAAACTAATAACAATAAGCATGAATAAACAAATAAAAATAATCAATCAAAATAAATAAATAAATGAATGAATTAAAAAGTCCCCCCCGCCAAAATAACAGAATAGACGACGGCAAGTAATCTAAACATTAGACGAATAAATAGCTTTAATTATCTTCCCAGACAAAAATAAACTATTAAATAAGCGACCTGAGCATAGCACCCCAAATGTTTTTACTACGTTAATAAAACATCGAAAACCGAAAAGAATAAATAATACAAAATGTAAAAGAAGTAAAATAAATTAACCCAAATAATAAAAAAATAAAGAGGCTTCTCCCGCAAAAATAACTGCCAGAATAGATTACCCACAATTCACCACTGACCCATATATATAAATAGTCGAGGAAAAATCCAACAATCGCGTCCTGACGATTGCGTCTAGAATGAAAGAGCCCGTAGCCTCTGAGTGTTGGCTTCAATGTTCACTTTTATATTTATATTTACATACGCTCTATCTCTGATATTGAGCACTTTATCCCATAAATATAGCACACCTTAAAACACTATATTTCTTCATATATATATGTGTGTGTGTGTGTGTGTGTGTGTGTGTGTGTGTGTGTGTGTGTGTGTGTGTGTGTAATTTGTGTATTTAGACTGTGTGGCTATCCATTATCCGTAATTATTCATTATGCTTTTAAATTGTTAACCACTTAAAAAGGATAATGAAAAATTACGGTAACGGATACCAACGCATAGCTTTTATAAATACTAGCAGTAGAGCCCGACATTGCCCAGGGATGTAACAGTAAGAGATAGATCAAGTATCTACCATCATAAAGACTGAAAAATAAAATTGACAAAGATTATTGTTTAAGGTTGACGGACACGCATGTCTTAATTAGTTTTTTTTGTTTTTTTTTTACGAATTGGTCAAACTCAAACTCAAACAAAAACATTGTTTTCAATCGTTATGAGTCTATCGATTGAATAGAATTTTATTATAAACAATTGTCTTGTAAATGGAATTTTTAAAGCATTCTAAATGTAAAAATAAAGAAAAAAGTGTGCAAGACAATAAGAAACACTACCTGCCAAAAAAAAGTGAAGTTTTGTTGAAATCGGTTGAAAAATGTAGGAAATCCGATCCCATATATAAATGAACACACACAGACACAAACAACCTGGGTTTTATAATAAGTATCGATATGAGTTGTCCCCCTTTCATTCTGGCGACAGAATCGTGTTATATCGTTTTCAAATTGATTTGGTGCAAAAACAATTGCGTTTTTCCAATTTTGGGCGCTGTCAGAATCACTGCAAGGTAATTTTACTCAGTATTGTGAAGTTTTGTTGAAATCAGTTGAAAAATGTAGGAAATCCGATCCAATATATAAACGTACAGACACACACACACACACACACACACACAATCTGCGTTTTTATAATAAGTAAGATTAGTATCATTGAACAAGATATAGTTTTGTACTACTTGTACTCCTGAAGATGATCTAGGAAGAAGATCGAAACTACTTAGAAAATAAAAATTAAAGAAATTCAAAGTTATATCACATTTCTCTCATCCCTTAATATACGGAATTCCTGGTGTTCCCAGGTCCACCCTGACCCGGGGTGGTAACACCTGTTAGGCCTCAGCTATGGGCAAATAGTTAACCCCCAAACTGGGGTCAAAACACTATGAAAGTGTAATAATAGGTTTTAATACCAGAAATACTTTGTAAAAAAGTTATTACCAGCAATAAATTTTTGAAAAAAAAATTAGTACTAGCAATACATTAAAAAAAAAATACCACCTGTACATTTCGGAAAAAATATTACCAGAAATAGGTTTTTGAAGGAAAAAATATTAGTAGCCATACATTTTTGAAAAAAATATTACCAGCAATAAAAAAAAAAAAATGCCGACATTAACTAACCCATTGAGGTTGACATGCCGTAAAACAAACCAAACCAAACCAAACCTGAGATAATAATGATTTAAGGTAAAAGTCTTACTAATCAATATATAAACTGATCCCTCATTTTGTGGACACGGTAGTTTTTATGCATTTATATTCCATTGAATGTAAATAAATCTATTTAGGTGGGGATTAGAAAGATTTAGAGATAAAGGTCTTACTAATTAACCCATAGATGTGGTGAGAAGAAGTGGAATCATACCTTATCAGAATTTCATAAACAAATAAATTATAGGATGAATCGAAAGTGAGGGATCAATTCTATATTACAATAACTGATCTCTCATTTTATGCTCACGGCAGTTTCTATACATTTATATTCCATATAATGTAAATTAACCTATTTTTTGGCGGGATATATAATAATGGTTTAGGGATACAAGTCTTACTAATTAACCCATAGCTGGGGAGGAAAGAAGATTTAGATTGATACTTTTCCCAAAGGTATTTGCGCGTAAGCGACTATAATGAATCCAACGGGATTTGGAACTCGGCTCTTAACTGTTGCAAGCCATTATCAATTACACCAACCGCTTAAGAAAGGTGTGTATATAATGTGGGGGATCAATTCTATATTAAAATCAATATATGAACTAATCCCTCATTTTGTGACCAAAGTAGTTTCTATGTATTTATATTTCATAGAATGTAAATAAATCTAAAAAATGCCCGTGTAGTTAATCAATATTTCATTGATTGTTTGATTCGTTTTCTACGACTTATCAACCATTTGTAGTTTATTTAAAGCCAGAAAATATTTTTAGAGTACACGATTTTCTTTTGGGGGGGGGTTACATAACAATATTTTAGTGATACAAATTTTATTAATTAACACATATCTGGGAGGGTAGAAGTGGTGTATTCATATCTTTCTCAAGGGTATTTGCATATAAGTGAATATAAAAAACCTGACCGGGATTGGAACTCGGCTCTGGGATTAACACTTCTGAGCCGTTATCCATTACACCATCCGCACATCCAAGCTAACATCACCTGGTATTCCCAAGTGGTCACACATCTAGGTATTAACCAGGCTTGACGTTATTTAACTTCGTTGATCGTACGGAATCTGATGTCTCAACGTGACATAAGCTAGTGCAATATCCAACGTCCATACTGACTGTAGAACAATGCAAAGCATCAGCAGTTATTATTAAGAAATCCATTGAAAACAAAATAGAACCAAGGGGATCACTCTGTTTAATAATGTTTACAACTTTCAATGGATTGTTTTTCTTTATTGTCTTGATAAAAAAAAATATAATGCTAATGGTGATATAAGCCGTTTCCTTATAAGGAAATATTTGACATTCATCGACCGAGTAACCAGTGCTTATTCGTATTACTCTTTTCTTAACTCCCTGGCCGTCGGGCTTAGATCAAAGTGTAGTATCTGTTTTCCTAATCTCTAATGGTAATGATAATATTAGCAGTTTACTTAGGAAATATTTGACATTCATCGACCGAGTAACCAATGCTTATTCGTAATACGCTTTTCTTAACTCCCTGGCCGTCGGGCTTAGATCAAGGTGTAGTATCTGTTTTCCTAATCTCTAATGGTAATGATAATATTAGCCGTTTCCTTATAAGGAAATATTTGACATTCAACGACCGAGTAACCAGTGCATATTCGTATTACGCTTTTCTTAACTCCCTGGCAGTCGGGCTTAGATCAAAGTGTAGTATATGTTCTGGTAAAAATTCCCCCTCGGAGGAGGAGTTTCTAACGCAGGCTTATCATCTCTCAGTTGCGTCTCTGTCTTCGGGCAGAGTGCGTTCAGGGGCTTCTCTGTCAAAGGAAAGGGGCAACTGGAAAATAAGATGTGCCCAGCCTTAGGGAACAGCTGCCCGAAGCCGCGTCCTCCCATTGCACCAGAGGGAGGGATCGGCGCTCGCACCGAGGCCAGCGCAACCGACAGTTGCTTTGTCCTTGTCCCGGGCATACGCGCTGGGGTCCCCACTTAAAAAAAGACCTTGTGTTACATCTCATCGAAGTGGGGGGAAGGAGTTAATACCGTGTAGTAGTATCTGTTCTCCTAATCTGTAATGGTTATGATAATATTAGCTGGTTCCTTATAAGGAAACATCCGGCATTCATTGACTGAGTAGCCAGTGCTTATTCGTGTTACGCTTTCTAACTCTCTGGCCATCAGGCTTTTTGCGCGATTGTGTCGAGTGAAAGGGGCTGACCTAAAGTTACACTTTGATGCCGGTTAGGCATCAGAACATTGTTTTTCCTGGGTTGAACATAGGCTACCCATCCCGAAATTAGGCTATGTTGTTTTTAAATCTTTAGTTTCTTTTTTCAGTTAACTTAGCTAGGGTATGTATACACATCGGCCCCTTTTATTACTGTCTCTATTTTCTTTAGTTTAATTCACAACCCCCTCCCTCGTTAGGTGGTCAGTGATGTCAGTTCTCTGGTAGATGCGGGGCGCCTTTCGTTTCGTCTGTGTGTTTTCGTATTTGTTGTTGTGTCTGAATGAGTGCGTGTCTGTGTGAGTGCTTGGGATGAACAAATGTTTTATACTTATTATCACCCCGCATTGATTTCGTCCAGTTAACTGATGTTTCTGCCACATTTAAGGATTGGGGGGGGTATTGCTAACATTATTTTGTTTAGTTTCGTGTAAATAATTTTGTTACATATTGTATATACTCATTGGAGATTTTTTTTAAATTGTTGTTTTATTCCCCTCCCCCCACAGACAATGAATTGTACATATGGGGACTATTTAGGATTTTCATAGAGACAATGAGGTATTATGGTGAATGTAGTAAGAAAGGTAGGTAAGAATGTGATGTTTTGGTATTAGGACTATTGTTTGTATGTTTGTGTCAGTGACTATGGTTAGCTAAATTTCAAGTTAAGACAGATGAAGACCGTCCTTTTCCCCAATCCCCATTTTGGCCTTGTGCCACATTTTGTACCATTGTACAAATAAATATCGCCATCGGGCTTAGATCAAAGTGTAATATCTGTTCTCCTAATCACTAATGGTAATGATAATATTAGCCGGTTCCTTATAAGGAAACATCCGACATTCATTGACATAGCAGGTGATGTTGCTGTCGGTTGTAATTTATAAAATCTTTCTTTTAAAACATTTCTTCAGGAAATTCTTTTTTTCTCAAGTCCAGTAGCTGTTATAAATCTTCCTAGTATTGGTAAGCGTTTCCTTCCTAATATTTTATTTGAAGGAGTGTGAAGTTGCACTTCCTTGCTATCGGTTTGGGAAGAAAAAAAACTGTTCTGTTCATCTCTAATGGCAATGGTAATATCAGCCGTTTCCTGATAAGGAAACATCCGTTATTCATTGACCGAGCAGGTGGTGTTGTCAGTTGAAATTTATAAAATCTTTCTTTTAAAACAATTCTTCAGGAAAATAGTTTGTTCAAGTCCAGTAGCTGTTATCTCCCTTTCCTGTATTTATGGCGGTTTCCTTCCCAACCTTTTGTTTGAAGTCGTGTGAAACGTCAACATCTTGATTATGTCTTTTTTTCTTTTCGATTGTGAAGGTGCTATTCCTTTTAATATTTCAATGAATTAATAAAATATGAATAAATTTCCTACACATACATAAATACATACATACATTAGCCTAACCCTACACACATGACCATTTTCACATTACTCACACTTTCGATGTTGGAATTATTGTCCTATGAGACATAAAGATAACAGACACCATTTTACTTTTATAGATTACTGAAAAGTGTAACGGTAATGTTAGCTGTTTCCCTACAAGGAAGCATTTGGCATTGATTGACCGAGCAGCCAGTAATATTTTCGGTTGAAATTTATAAAATTCTTCTCTTAAAAACATTTTTTTTTTTTTAGAAAACAAGTTTCCAGTAGCTGTTATAGCTCTTTTAGTATTGATAGCGGTTCCCTTCCTAACCTTTTGTTTGAAGTAGTGTGGAATAAGTATTTGTACTCAAAGTTGAATGGACGTCGATGTCCAAATATGGTATTCCAGGATTCCGGCGGGAAACACAATTTTCGGGTTATTACCCAATATTTTTTGTTCCGTTTCGAAAAGTTTCTTCATAAAGAGCATAAATATTATAAATTAACTGATTTAAAAATATGGTTTCTTCGCTACACAGTAATAACCATGTTTCAAAAACCGAAGCTAAAAATTTCAATTTTAATTATATAATTAAATTAAAAGTATTAGTTCTGTTTCATCTTCAACCGAATTTTGGAATATATATATATATATATATATATATATATATATATATATATATATATATATATATATATATATGCAAGCAAATATATGGATATAGATCAGACAGTATTAATTCATGTTGAATTGATAATGTTAATTATATTTTATGAATATGTCCTGAAGATGGTTTATTAGACCGAAACGCCCGACGTTGACATATTAACATTAAAACAGCATAATTGCATATAAGGATTTTTGTTTGTTTTTTCCGTATATTTTTTCATATATATATATATATATATATATATATATATATATATATATATATATATATATATATATATAGTTGTCTTTCATGTTTTACAAGGATTAAGGGATATAATTTTGTCAAAAAATATTGTCAAAAATCGCTTTCTGTCCTGATATATGATTTGAAACTGCAATATTTTATCAACTGTACTTCCCTTTTAAAATAATTCTTTATTTCGACCGCTATCTTTCTTAGCAAACGTTTTCGAACTCCAGGGAATAACAGACATCTTTCTAAAATATTTTTTTTTAAAGGCGTCACTTTAAAAGATAAAAATAAATATCGTATATGATTAATAAACCTTTTTCAACGAACAGGCATTTTTCATATATATTCATCTGTCTTTCACTGAGAAATTTTCGACATATTTCTTTGCTCTAAACTTAGTATTACAATGAAACAAACTCAATTTTCAATTTGCCAGCTAATCCGTAAATTGATGAGATATTCTTGAAAATATCCCCTGAGGTTTTATTGGCTCTGTACAATTTTGTATAACTCTAAACTGTTCCAATGAAGTGTGCCCATAGGAGCCTGTCAGTAAATTGAAAGGAACTCATCCATTGGCACTGCGCTTTTTAAAACTCAAATTTAATGGAACTTTCTTCTTGGTAATTATATTCAGATGCACGAAGCTACTGGAAAGATGACATTTACTTAAAAATAAAAACCCGTGCGTAGGGCCAACGCCATCGAGAAGAAGCTTTCAATCATCAAAATCGTTTTGACTTTTTCTCACTTCGATTAACGCCATTTCATTTCTACAAGTTTCTTCCAACGTGTTTTATCATTCTAAGATTTTCACTATTCACTCAGTATTATTTCAGATTGCCAAAGGTTGGAAACCAAAATGAAAATAAGCATTTTTTTTTTTTCATTTTTCTTTTTCTTTCTTTCTATTATAACAATTGACTATAGCAGGATTTTCGAAAAAAAATTGCTGTGGTGGTAATTTTTGTGATGTTTCTTGTCCATACTTTTGGATGGAGATATTCACTCTGAATAATTCACATTATTAACCGCTGTAATGTTTTAGTAGTAGTAGTAGTAATAGTAGTATTAGTAGTAGTAGCCGTAATAGTAGTAGTAATAGTAGTAGTAGCAATAGTAGTAGTAATAGTAGTAGTAGTAATAGTAATAGTAATAGTAGTACTAGTTGTAGTAGTGAGAGTATTATTCATTTTTTTCTTTTTATTTTCTTCTTATTTTCTTTAGTATTTACAGCATTTGTACACGTGACAAAATCATGTGGGAACCCCTTTGGAATTTTAAATGTATTGCTCATGAATTTTGGTGACTCTCTCTTTCTCTCTCTCCCTCTCTTTCCCTCTCTCTCTCATCTCTCGGTCTCTCTAACTCTCTCTCAATATATATATATATATATATATATATATATATATATTGTATATTTAGGCAGCAATTTTTCATTAATGCATGTTTCATTAAATAATATAGACAAGTTTTTGTAAGTAAGTTCCTTTCATATTGTCTGATAAGCTAAATAACATTATCATTGAAAGACGAAAGGAAATCACCATATTGATACATGTTTAAATCTAATCTAAGCTTTCGGCTTACACAAAACTTGTCTATA